TTTTAAGTCTAAATTCCAGATAAGTGGTATTGCTATTAAAAATCTTATAATGTATACAAAATGAATACTTATATCCATTGGGATCAACCATATTTTTTTCATAGCTTTTAAAAAGGTAGAGGGTATGTTCTTTTTTTATTATTCATAGCATGTGGCAGCACGTGGTCACGTGTCCAGTTCACACAGAAAATGGACACAAAAAAGGGAACGACCACTTCAAAATCCCGTATTTAGGATTACAATTTGAGCTTTTAGTGTTTTTTTTTTCACTCATTCATTCATTTTCCTTCATAGCCTCAATAATTTTACAAAGTTTTTCGTGTTTCGGTCATGTAAGCAAATGAGGTGTGGAAGGGGGGGGGGGGGCTGGGGCTCGGGGAGAAAAACCCTTTTTATGACTCAACCTCTGAGGCGTTACATCTCGAGGTTTTCTGAATATATTGGGATACAAATAAGGTGTTACATTGGTTTTCCGGGGGGGGGGGGGTAGTGGGGGGTGCAGCCTAGCCACCATGATTAGAAATATACAGCCGCTTAACCTAACCCAAAAACAGTAACACATTTCACAATATATATATATCTTTTGTTTCATTCCATTTCTTATGAACTCGGACAAAAGTCCTCGAGTTTTGCTTCATATTTGGCAAACTGTGTATTTGAAAAATATTGGATTTTGAATATAGTCTGTAATGGTTATATATTACCTTGACACAAACCCTCAGGTAAATCGCCTCTAAGTCTTTCCCCCTGACCAGCTAAGTGTAGAAAAGTAATCTATATAAACAGCAGATCATCTTAAGAACCTTTCGATGAGAATAACTGACTTTGCTTAGAAGACTATGATACACTTATATATATATATATATATATATATATATATATATATATATAAATATATATATGTATGTATGTATGTATGTACATATATATGTATATATACATATACATACATTTCTTTTTCTTTTTCTTTTTTTGTTCGAGGCCCAAGCGTGCTCCGACTCGCCGCACTGATGACTTCCCAGACCTCCTTTTGATGATTTTTTTATCAGTTAAAATTTCAAAAGGATCTTAGTACTTAAGCTGACATAGTTTTTTTTTTATAGGTCAACAATTTTTTTTTTTACAAATCTCACGGATCGATGCATGTTAACAAGGTCTTACATTATGTATATTTCTCTTATTACAATTATCCTAACTGGACAATGATTGGCTGTGAGCATTCTATTCTCTAAGGTTTTACAAAATCAGCATTTTGAGTTCGACATTCAAAAATCAAAAGACCGTTCGTGTCGTTTTACCCGCTTCTCTAAAAAGTCGTGGCCAATTTTAAGTCTATATATATATTTTTTTACAATTGGTTCTTGTCATAGACGAGTTCCAACGGATGTTTCTTTCGTTTACACATTGTGGAGGAAAACTCAGGCTTTCAAATTCCGTAGGTGTGTGTGATTAACAGAGTCGCAACACACCGGCCGAAGAAGAAAAAAAAAACAGATGAATGAATATATATATATGTGTAAGTGGTCTATGGTCTATATTCCCTCCAGAATGTATGAAACCAAAGTATATACTTCCAGTCTAAGCCTTGATGTCGTCCCTATGATTAATTCATACTGTATTACAAGTCATGGGAGTAAAAAAATCTACCGAACTTTATTTAGACATCATAAAGCTCAGTACTGCTAATTCTCAGCATACAATATGATAGATATTCAGAGAGGCGGTTCTGAGAAATCCCATCCTCTTTATTTCAAAGTCTAAGAAAAAAGAAGAATAAGAATTGTATGATTTATTTGGAAAAATCTTGGCTAGATTTCTTAAAAGTCATGTTGAGTGAAAAGAATGTAGTTTTCTCAGAACTGCTTGTCCGAGGCTCTACGATATATTAACATTCATTTTTTTTTATAACAGTGTGGTCTATATGCTGCTGTACAAGAAGACATAGGCAAGAATTATTATAATAATTTTTTGTGGCTTTAGGAAAGACAGATTTCATTTTACATTTATGACAAAAAGATATATTTTGAGGGAATGTGTGTTTATTCTAATTGGCAACAAAATCAGGATTACTTGCTAGGGGATTTTAATATTTTTTTCCACATTATTAAACACTTCAAACAATATCGAGAATTCAGTTACATAATTTCTATAATAACAATGCCACTGACTTCAAGAATATCAATCATTCTATCAATATTAACAACAAAGTGATATCATATATCTATTTACAGTATCAGATAATCTTTTTTTTTTTTTGCTATAGAATACTGTAACGTTTGTATCAATCTTTGGAATAACACAATGGAAATGTCATCCAACACAATTTTTTTTATCTTAAAACTTGCTATTCTGCACATTTAACTTCACCGTAAGATGTCTAGGTTCCTGCTAATCAGTCCAGCAGGCGAACACGTGCTCTGCTACTGCTTAATATATACACACATCTCTGTCAACTGAGAGATCATTTATATATCTATATTCCTTTTTTTTTAACGTCTTTTTTTTCCCTTGGTGTCTTCATTTTCTTTCGTGTTCATCTAAGCAAAGCTGAGTCATTTCCCTTTTTTTTTTAAAGATTCTTGTTTTGTTTTCCATTTTTACTTAGAATATACGATTAGCTTTCTCTCTTCGCACAAACGTTTCTTTTTTTCTTCAATGTCAGCGTCTTTGTTGCCCGCGTCCAAATCCGTTCACCGCTTTTCATACATATATTATCCAAGGTAATACAAGAGAGCATCTTCATCTTTGCACTATAATACTAAAAAGGTAATAAGTTCTTCAGTCCACTCGCAGAAAACCGTTATCACACTTTCGCATTTCTCTCTCCCTCTCTCTCTCTTCCCTCGTAATAATATTACGCACCGAAAATCAAGTTTACCTAAGTCCTTTGACGAGATGTTTTGTGTCTACATCTATGATACAAAATATGTATAGTACAGCACTGTCTGTAATCTACACTTTGGTTTATAGAAAGTCTACAGAGGCTAGTAATTAACCTCATGTATATATTTTTCTCTTATCTGTTAAATATAATATAAACACAACTACACACTGATTGATTGATTGTATGATTTTCATTTCTTCGTCCATTGTGGCATGATGTTTCAATAATAAAAAAATCAATGAAAAAGTGGGTGTAATGAAATAAAACATGTAACTAGGCTGCGCATCATTTTAACATGTTAAAATGAGCATCCTGTTCATAATGATTCTGCTAAAAATAAGTAGAGATGAAAAATATACCTAAATGTCAACAGGTGGGAACGCTTCTTATGCTATATATCAATGTATTTCATATGCGTCAACAATCTAATGTAAAATACTTTTGCATTTACATTACTGAGCCTATCTAAATATGATATAATATTCAAACTGGGAAACTCATGGGTCAGGATTCTCCAAATTCCATTCATTCTGCATTATCTTAAAAATAAAGCTAAAATTATTTTAATTTCGTTTTCTCCATGACATGCTCTTGGCAATGCTTAGATATCCCTGTATATAAACAAAGAAACCATGATTTCTCACAGCAAAATATTTGATCACCCAGAAAAAAAAAGAAAAAAAAAAATCAAGAACTCAGTCCTCACCTTAGTCGAATCTTCCTTGAGTCTTGTATGCTCCGCGATAAAGTTGACACACCAACACGTGCGGTGAACCTCGGGCGAGCAGTGGGGCAGGTTATGCTGGAAGGGCCGAAAAGTGGGGCTCTTATCCGAGTTTTCGAGGGCGTACCCGTCGTCGTGGATGTTGGTGGAGCCGTGGATGCGACAGGTGGTGGAGTAAGGCCCATCGGTCATCCTGATGTGTGGTTGGGCGGGAGGGAAAGAGAGAGACAATGGCGGATGAGTTACGAGGGAGGGGGGGAGGGTTGGTGGCTGGAGAGAGAGAGAGAGAGAGAGAGACAATGGCGGATGAGTTACGAGGGAGGGGGGGAGGGTTGGTGGCTGGAGAGAGAGAGAGAGACAATGGCGGATGAGTTACGAGGGAGGGGGGGAGGGTTGGTGGCTGGAGAGAGAGAGAGAGAGGAGAGAGAGAGAGAGAGGAGAGAGAGAGAGAGAGAGAGGAGAGAGAGAGAGAGGAGAGAGAGAGAGAGACAATGGCGGATGAGTTACGAGGGAGGGGGGGAGGGTTGGTGGCTGGAGAGAGAGAGAGAGACAATGGCGGATGAGTTACGAGGGAGGGGGGGAGGGTTGGTGGCTGGAGAGAGAGAGAGAGACAATGGCGGATGAGTTACGAGGGAGGGGGGGAGGGTTGGTGGCTGGAGAGAGAGAGAGAGACAATGGCGGATGAGTTACGAGGGAGGGGGGGAGGGTTGGTGGCTGGAGAGAGAGAGAGAGAGAGAGAGAGAGAGGAGAGAGAGAGAGAGGAGAGAGAGAGAGAGAGAGAGAGAGAGGAGAGAGAGAGAGAGAGAGAGACAATGGCGGATGAGTTACGAGGGAGGGGGGGAGGGTTGGTGGCTGGAGAGAGAGAGAGAGAGAGAGAGAGAGAGAGAGAGAGAGAGAGAGAGAGAGAGAGAGAGAGAGAGAGAGAGAGAGAGAGAGAGAGAGAGAGAGACAATGGCGGATGAGTTACGAGGGAGGGGGGGAGGGTTGGTGGCTGGAGAGAGAGAGAGAGACAATGGCGGATGAGTTACGAGGGAGGGGGGGAGGGTTGGTGGCTGGAGAGAGAGAGAGAGACAATGGCGGATGAGTTACGAGGGAGGGGGGGAGGGTTGGTGGCTGGAGAGAGAGAGAGAGGAGAGAGAGAGAGAGACAATGGCGGATGAGTTACGAGGGAGGGGGGGAGGGTTGGTGGCTGGAGAGAGAGAGAGAGACAATGGCGGATGAGTTACGAGGGAGGGGGGGAGGGTTGGTGGCTGGAGAGAGAGAGAGAGAGAGAGAGGAGAGAGAGAGAGAGAGGAGAGAGAGAGAGAGAGAAGAGAGAGAGAGAGAGAGAGAGAGAGCTAAAGGAGGGGTTTCCATACGGAGAGATAGAAGGGAGGAAGGGAGAGGGGGATGTCAGACGGAGAGATAGGGGGGTTTGGAAGGATGAGCTCGGAACACCTCGCTGAGCTTCTTGTCCAGGGGAACGCGGTCGTCGTACAGCGAGGGTGCCTGCAGGATGATGCCAGCCGTGCCCACCAGCACTGCCAGGGTGAAGATCCACAGGAAAAGCCGGTCCAGTACCATAGCAACGTACTTCCAGTCTTCCTTCACCTGCCGACGTCATTGGGGTGTGTTAGCTTCCGTTTATTATTAAGATTATTTTTGGGTTGTTTTTGTTCTGTTTTAAATGTATTTGGAAATTCTGTGTGTTTTGGGGGATATTTATGTTGGTTATATTTGATTATGATGAATTTTCTGGTTTTTATGTAAGCGTATACATTTAATTCCTGATTAAAAAAGTATGTGATAAAAAATAAACAGGATATACCAAATAGAACACCCACACAAACACCCACACACACACGCACATAAATACAATACACAGCAATACTCACCTCCTCCTCCCCCCCCAAAAAAAAAAAAAAAAAAAAAAAAAAAAAAAAAAAAAAAAAAAAAAATAATAATAATAATAACAATAAAAAAAAATCAAGAACTCAGTCCTCACCTTAGTCGAATCTTCCTTGAGTCTTGTATGCTCCGCGATAAAGTTGACACACCAACACGTGCGGTGAACCTCGGGCGAGCAGTGGGGCAGGTTATGCTGGAAGGGCCGAAAAGTGGGGCTCTTATCCGAGTTTTCGAGGGCGTACCCGTCGTCGTGGATGTTGGTGGAGCCGTGGATGCGACAGGTGGTGGAGTAAGGCCCATCGGTCATCCTGATGTGTGGTTGGGCGGGGGGGAGAGAGAGAGACAATGGCGGATGAGTTACGAGGGAGGGGGGGAGGGTTGGTGGCTGGAGAGAGAGAGAGAGAGAGAGAGAGAGAGAGAGAGAGAGAGAGAGAGAGAGAGAGAGAGAGAGAGAGAGAGAGAGAGAAAGGAGGGGTTTCCATACGGAGAGATAGAAGTGAGGAAGGGAGGGGGGATGGTCAGACGGAGAGATAGGGGGGTGTGGTGAATAGAGAGAAAGAGAGACAGTGAGAAAAATGGAAGCAAGGCTAGAGCTAGAGAGAGAGAGAAAGAAGGAGAAAGAGAGAGAGAGAGAGATGAGAGAGAGAGAAAAGGGAAAGAGAGAGAGAGAGAAGAGAAAGAGAGACATAATAATCAGTGAAGAATGAAAGAAAAGAAAACAGAAGATAAAACAAAAAAAGGGTTAAAACCAATTACGAACTTAAAGAAAATCAAAACCTTAAAAAAAAAAAAAAATTCTGGATGGCGCCAATATAACAAATGACAAAGCGCGAAATTCGATAAGAAATTTTGAAGACTTAAAGCAAAACAAAGAAGAGAAGAGAAACAGAAAACAACCAATAACTGAAAGAGAATTGATGAAATTTTGAAAAGATAAAAAGAATAAATAAATAAATAAAATGAAATGTATAATGCCATTAAAAAGTAAAGCGAAAATGCCTTATTTTTTGGCTCATAAATATATTATGTTCATTTCCATTATTGTAGTTATTATTCTTAGTGTATTCTTTGTTAAGATTAATATTGTTATCATTTTTAGTTTTCTTTTCATTGTTATTATCATCATCATCATCATTGTAATAATAATAATAATAATAATAATTGTAAATAATAATAATAATGATTATTATAAATAATGATAATAATAATAATAATAATAATAACATTAATAATATTGATTATTATTGTTATTATTATTATCATCATCACATCATTATCATTATTATTATTACCATCGTTATTTTTGTTATTATCATTATGACATTATTATTGTTATTATCACTATTATTATTATCACAATCATTATCATTATTATCATTGTTATTACTATTATTATTATGATTATTATATCATATCATTATTATTGTTATATTATTATTATCATTATTATTGTTATTATCACTATTATTATTATCACAATCATTATCATTATTATCATTGTTATTACTATCATTATTATCATTATTATATCATATCATTATTATTGTTATATTATTATTATCATTATTATTGTTATTATTAATATTATTCTTATTGTTATCATTATCATCATAATCACTATTATTATTATAATCACTATTATTATTATCATTATCATTATTGTTACCATTTATCATTGTTATTATTATTGTTACTATTATTATTATTATTATTATTATTATCATTATTATCATTGATTATTATTATCATTATTATTATCACCATTACTATCATCATCATCATTATAATCATTTTCACTGTTATTAATATTCTTATCATCATCATTACGGTTAAATTTTTATTGCAACCATTTATTATCATATTATCATCATCAATGTATTTTTTTCCTAATGATAGCATTCGTATTTTAAACCATCACTGTTATATCATAATCATTAGCATCATAGATTTTTTCACTGTATTAAGTTTTATCTTTTTTCTATTACTGATAATCAACATGACTTTT